GAAGGAAGGAAGGAAGGAAGGAAGGAAGGAAGGAAGGAAGGAAGGAAGGAAGGAAGGAAGGAAGGAAGGAAGGAAGATAGCCATAGCACTTACGACTTATATACCACTTTACACTACACTGTTTACAGTGTCAGCATCTTGCCCCCAACAATCTGAATCCTCATTTTACTGACCTCAGAAGGATGGAAGGCTGAGTCAACTGTGAGCCTGGTAAGATTCAAACTGCCGACAGCCGGCAGTCACGAGAAGTAGCCTGCAGTACTGTATTCTAACCACTGCACCACCCCGCCACCACTAACATGCCTGCGTCTTAACTTTTACCTGGGCTGAGATTGCAAATCCCAACCACTCCCTTGCAGTTCAGCCAAAAAGCCGTTTGAAACAATTACCAGCTTCAGCATCCATGTGCTTCCGCGACAGGTGGCAAAACACCCGAAGGTGCCGAGCAGAGCGACCACCAATCCTGCCCCGATCAGGACGTACGGAACATTGCTGGCCTTCTCGTTCAGCAGGAAGAAGTAGACTTCCAGGCTCACCTTGGCCCAAATGCCAACGCCTAGGAGGACGATGCCAGTGAACTGGAAAGGTAGGAGAAACGCACGTGTGAGTCAAAAGGGAACCATTTCTGGAGATGTTTCCCTGCAAACAAGCTGTTCCTCTTAACCAGAATTCTCCGCGATTCTGCGTTGCCCTTGCTACTGATGCAGATCGGCTCTGCTTCAACCCGAGTTCAAAGTGGTCAACCACTGTCTTTTTGGGCTCTGCAACCCAACAAGACAGACCCAGACTTCAATGGATAATTAGAACTGCAGAAAACAAAACAATGGCTGCCAACCTGCCTTCCATTGAGGACCCGGACACTGCACGAGTCAAAAAGAGGGCTGAGAAAGTAACTACAGACCCCTTGAATCCTGGACATGAATTGTTTCAACTCCTACCCTCAAAATGACATTCTAGAGCATTACACACCAGAACAACTAGACAAAGGTTTTTTTCCAAATGCCATCACTCTGCTAAACAACTAATTCCCACGATACTGTCAAATTATTTACTAAGACTGCACTACTATTCTTCTTCTCATTCTTCCTATTACCTATCTCCTTTTACTTATCTAATGATTATCTGCTGATAATCCAGGATGGTCTTTCCTCCCAAAACTATGGAGCCCATCATCTTGCCTAGGATTCAGAAAGAGGTTGTACTTTTTTTTTTTAACTCATCAACTTTTTAAACGTTTTTGGCCAACTTATGTTCCCCATCCTATAGGAAGCGTACAAGTGAATTGTGCAATTATTCAACCAAACCAAGGATTTAACCCGCCTCTATGAAGCTTGTATCTTCCAATTTATATTGTTTTGTTTACTAGTACGATTTGATAGCTTATTAGTAACCTATGACTATCAATAAGTGTTGTATCTTTTAATTCTTGATGAATATATTTTATTCTCCTTATGTACACTGAGAGCATACATACCGAAGACAAATTCCTTGTGTCCAATCACACTTAGATTCTATTCTATTCCATTCCATTCTTTACTTTCCTATTCTATTCTACTCCATTCTATTCAATTCCATTCCATTCTTTACTTTCCTATTCTATTCTACTCCACTCTACTCATTCTATTCGATTCCATTCCATTCTTTACTTTCCTATTCTATTCTACTCTACTCTACTCCATTCTATTCCATTCTTTACTTCCCTATTCTATTCTATTCTCCTCCATTCTATTCAATTCCATTTCATTCTTTATTTTCCTATTCTATTCTACTCTACTCTACTCCATTCTATTCCATTCTTTACTTCCCTATTCTATTCTATTCTCCTCCATTCTATTCAATTCCAT